ATTGAAATTATCTGCTCAATCAATCAATAAATCAAAGATCATTTCTTATCGAGCATTTGATCATACAGACCACACCCACTGACTCGATGGCAAAGAGTACAGTGCCGAAGAACAAAGGGTAGGCTTTGATATCACCAACGGCTCTGCGATCGGAAAGCGGCGGCAGTTCTCTCAAGACGTAGTAAAATACTATGCAAAGACCTACGAGATAAAAAATTTTCCATCAACCTAGTCCATTTCTACAGGTACACATACACAGAACCACTAAATACTTATACAAATCATAGCATCCGCAAGCGCATTCAACGGCACCAGGCTCCTCAGGTCGCGTATTAAATAAATTGATACCAGCGGTGCAGCCAGCGCGAATATATAAAATCGTACGTCGAATGTGTAGCCATAGTAATCGGTCAGCTCCCGCAGGTTGTCCGCAATGAAGACCACATAGGCGCTGCAGACACCAAAGTGGTAGAAGGCCAATATGAAATCTATGGTAGAACTGCGATGAGCTCGCATTTAACATTCTCCGTTTTACATGTATGTATGTATGTATGTATGTAATGCAATTTTCATACAAACCGCGCGGTGAAGCTTAGGAAACGCAAATACTTTGGACCTGCTTCCAAGGCGAGTGCCATCGCGTCCGGATAGTTTAGTTGAGGAACACGCTTTCTCTTACAGAGTTCGTAGATGCCGTGCAACTGCGGAGATCACTGAACTTGTTATTTCTTTAAAATTAATTATTTCAGGTGTGTTCGCTTACCAAAACATGCAGAGCGAATATCACAATTGAACCAACCACAATGGTGCTTATTAGGCCATTGAGCCAGCCAGCAGCTTGAAACGCCTTGGGCATAGCCAAGCAGCCAATGCCTATGGAGGCTTTCAGCAAGCTGATATAAACCTCGAGATTGCTGCAAATTGTATAAAGGACACAAATATGAAACGTAGAATGAAGTTTTTTCACAACGCACCTCAACGGATTTTCTATCACTCGATGCTGGTAAGGATCGTAGGCATCCCTTGAGCTGTGGAAGAAGAATTGCTATGTACATAGATCATTTGCGAGTAAAAAAAAATCACAATTACTTGGCATTAATCATAGTCCGATAAAAGAAAGACGCGTATAAAAGCTTGAAAAGTTTTCAAATTTTTATTTTAAATGACAATTTTTATTTTTGTGGCGAATTCATATATCTAATAAATTTTGGGGAAAATGTACACATGTATATCGACTTTTTATTTTTAGCGATTCAAAATTTCGAAGTCTTATATCACATTTACATTAGAAACAAATGCGTGATTTGAAATCAGTCATTTGAAGGCATTTACACCGCTTGATTCGCATTTCTTTTGCCTTCATCATTCATTATATTTTTTAACACGTTTTGGACACAAAAGAGGCATTTATTCTTTGATTTAACTAAAACTGTTAGAATTTATGCGTAAGTTAACAATTTTTATACCCAAATATCAAAGATTTATTTATTTCGTTGAGTTTGTTTTGATTGGAAAAATTCCAAATGTCAAAAACAAACAAAAGCGTTTGAAGCAAGGCACATAAATACAGGTAGAAGCACGATACAAATCATGAAATTGTTCGAAATTGTTTTTGCTTGAGATTTAAAATGTGTGTGCGAGTTTGTGAGTAAATTTTAAAATTAAATTTCTTGGAAACGTCAAGAATTTTAAAAGTTTCTCTCAGCGGTCCTACCTTACTGTATACTTTATCATGGCTAGAAGCAAAATCTATTCAACAAAGTATGATTGAATTTGACATTCATTTCAGAAAAACCATCCTATAAAGTCAAATTTGTTATAAATTTTGAATCGCTTGGTTATATTTTTTGGCATAATAGTACCTTAAAAGAGAGCCTATCTGAGTTGTCAATCACACCTTGTTTAATACCCAAGTCATTTGGACGTTGCTCTCGTGAGAACCAAACTTTCAAACTTCAACTCGTTTTTTGGTTTTTCTCTCTCTCTCTCACTTATATGGTGATACGGATGGCGAGTACGGAAGAATGCTCTGTCGGTGGGTAATTGAACAATAATTGAACAATAAGCTATGCTTTTTTGCTTGTCCATTCGCCAACTTTATTGAACTTTTACATTAGCGCTATTCATAGAACGTCTCAAGGTGGCACTTTTGGCGAAATGGCAACGTTGCGAACAAAGTTGCATGAACGACCTATCGCAATTCCGGATTGCAAAGATTATTTCGACGAATTCCTACAAAGTGATTATTGCCCTTGCCCGGGAAAGATTAACTTATTCGTAGCTTCTACTTTCATACGAACAGAAGAGAATAATTAGTAGATCCAGCAAATATTTTAGAGTGTAAACATTTTAGTGTTATGCTGACACTTTTTCAATTAGCAGAGGCGAAACATGTAGAGGGTAAAAGATATCTAAAGACATTGCGTGTGCCCTCTGTGGGTTCTGAAAGATGGCACACCCTTCTAGCCATAGTTGTTACGAAGTATCATTGCAGGGATTGTTGAACCACCAACTGTCCCAGATAGCAGACAGTTTTATTGCCGTAAACTCTGCAATAGCATAGTAAATGGAGAAAGACTCTCGCCTTATTTTACGTCGAAGGCTTCAACCATTGGAACATTAGTACAGATGCGTTGTGTTTTTTGATGGAGTCGTTTAGAACCGTATCCAAATAGTTTTTCTTTTATTTTTTTGCTTAAGTAATGCGTCAACAATTTTTCTCTTCGATTTTGGCCATAAACACTCCATAACATACCTTCATCACCCTTCATTTCGTAGGCGTATATTGAGTAAATGGTTTATTTATTAATTTCTCTTAAAAAACCACGCATCCCAGTTTGCAATGCCTTTTTTTCAAAGAAACACTGAAACACTGTGGGTTGCTGATCTAAAGACAACCGAAAGCAATGACGGTTCCTTCCACCATTTTTGATCTATCGAATCTTTCCCGTCGGTTAATTAGATGCCATTGAAACCTTGTTGAACCCTTTCTAATTTCTGAATCGTACAAAATAGATTTTTTTTCATATGTAGGGTCTTTCCAAATTTTAGAATTTTTTTTAAATTGCCTATTCTTACGAAGATAAACGTTCGGTTTCTTGAAAATGCTCCCGTTTTAACACAAAAAAAAACGGAACGTTATATCTTCAGAGCCGCGCTATTGTTTTCGGCCACTAACCTCCTGAGGTATAAAAAAACATTCAGACGGACGCTTTTGAGATAAATCTACTATGCTAACCAAGCTGATTTAATTTTATAATTTTTTGTTCGTCTCACGGCTTAGAATCTTTTATGGATCACATTGCTGGGATGGTTTTCTAAAAGTTTTGTCTAGGCGAGAGTTCCATCTAAACCTCCCCTCAGGCATTTGACTTGGTTAAAGTATTCAAGCACTGTACCCCCAAAGATGGTTGAAATAATGTGCGCTTTCTACCTTTAGGGAGCCGTGCAAGAGCTTCAATTATAGCACCTCGTAATACTAATTACCAACGACTTAATTCGAGGCGGCTGCCGGGATCGAATGGTTAGTGGTGTGCATTAGCACTAGGCGGGAGAAACGACTTCAATAGACCACATCGAATGCCCCAAAAAAATCAAATGAAAGTAAATACTTATAAACTCTTTCAATGAAAACGCACATGCATGTGAACTCAACCGAAAGTTTTTAGTGTCGACTAATTGGGTTACTGGCTGACTGACCCAAATTCTAGTCCTGCTAGTCCTTCGCCAATAAACTATTTGTATTTAGTCGTACATATGTAGATATGCAACCAATCTATTTATGTCCAATCAATCAGCAATGTGCCGTTTGTTCACCAAAACATATATCTACTATTACCAGCAACAACACCAAAGAAAAAACCACCGCAACTACCTAATGGCAATTGTTGTCACTACTCCTTGTTGCTGTTGTCATTACTGCTATCAGATGTTGTACAAACATATGTATGTCGAGTATGTGCGTTGTTGTAAATTTTATGTTGGCTAGCTGGTTCGACTGTGGCTCGTGAATGTCTACAAATCGAAATCATATGTCAATTGTCGTGTCAAACCGAAAATCGATTTCGATGATTGCCATTTGTGGCCGACAATTGTTAACAATATTTGCTAATGCAACAGCAGCAGCAAACGAACAACAGCAACTACAGTAGAAGCGATTGCCAAAGCAGCTTGCTTTTTACATTGAAAACACTTTGTTGGCTAAGCTTGTTGTTGCCGCTGCCGCTGCCGCTGGGGCAATGGGGCAACATGTCGCATAATTAAACGCGACTATTTGCCAAAGACATTCGCTCAATCGCTGGTGTAACTAGTAGCTACATACGTACGTAAATTACTTGCGCCAGCCAACAGCAAGCACACTTACATATTTACTTGCAACATGCGGCATGTGACATGCTCAGCATACCGATATTTTCACTAATGTTGGCCGCAGCCTCATCGGCGATAGTTGCGATGCTGCTGGTGCTGACTATCAAAGTGATGGGGATGGCGATGGCGATGGCGATTTTTGATGGCGTTGATCAGCCGCTCGCTGTTAGCGTTTGACGATGAGCGTGGCACGGTGCCGGCCGCGCCATGACATGTGCCGCGAATACCGAAATGTCAAAGCGCATATGCTGCATGTTGCATGCGACTTGGACTAGCTGCAACGCCACAACCGCAATTCCGTTTGGCAATTAAAGTCAGCGCGCGCGCGCGCATATCTTAGCGTTTGCTTGTTGGAATTCGTTCGCGTCCGACATATAAACGCGCTGTTTGTGACCCATTTGCTGAATCTTAATGCGCAGTGCAACAACAATAAGTGTATAAAGGTAGCTGCATTTTGATTTCCTTCTCCTTTGGCCAAATTCTATTTCTCTGCTTTTGCACTAGTTTTTTTTTTCCTAAAGCTGCCTGCAGCCGGAAGTTTGTTTTGCAAAATGCAAAATGCAAATTTAACTGTTACACATTTCTATGCTAATTTGCGATTACAAATGCATACACAACAACAAAATCAACATACGAATAGCTGCACATTGTTCAGCGGTGAGGACAAAAAAATATGCCCGCGTTATTGGTTCGCAAATGAAATGGCAATGTTGCCATGATGACCTCCCGCATAGCAAATGCACGCAACATGGAATTTACACCGCAAGTGCGACGCAACGCAGTACAGTACAGGCGTGCACACGTCACGTACTTGCATGCAATGGCACATACCCTGCACGAAATCAGTGAAACTGTATTGGAATGGAAAAATTTGCTGGGATGATATATTCAATTAATGTCCCGCGATACACGGCTAGCCCCAAAATACATAGAATTTTGCAATATTGTTAATTTCGTAAAAATTCTCCGTAATTCATTCGTTTTATTATATGTAATTTTTCCCAAATAACCCCGATTAAAGGGGATGTGAGGTTATTCCGCCAGGGGTTCTCTATACGATCTCTTCTTGCATTACCTATTAATTCACGACTTGAAAACATTTCGTTATTATATTTCTTTTTCATTAGTCCATACGGTCCCATTATTTAACTCCCTTCTGTTCCATATAAATGGTAGCCATTGCTTCTTGTAAGACGCTATTGAACTTTGACAAGAAAAAGCAAAACTTTCCATTTGCATTTACCAGTTTACATTATTCTATTGGCAACGAACGCTTCCGCCACCGCAATAATTATTCATGGCTACTATAGGTCGGTGGGTAAGAAAGTGCACAACAGGCAGGCCACCTCTCTACACTGAGGGAAATAATGCATAGTAAAAATGAATACTTTATATTTGATTGTCGTTTAAAAATGTTCGTATTTAAAAATAATATTTTCATACAAAATTTATTACGCACGTATTTGACTGTTCACATCTGAGTATGCATATGTAAGTGTACATACGCACCCCAAGCATGCAGAGCGCCGCACTGAGAGCGGTGACAAAACACACATACACACATAGCAAGAATGGTAGAATGAGAGTAGAATTCTCAAGAATTTCTGTCAATCGTGCATACATAGTACATACATGTTTATCCGGACAAATCGCGTTCTGTGGTGTTGATGGATATTCAACATTTGAAAGGAAATTTATATGTCTGGATGTAGCTGAGTGCGCAAAGATGCTTGCC